GATTGAACTAAGACCTCTAAAGTGCTTCCATCTCCCTCAATCCTCCCACCCCAAAGTTCCAACCAAATGATACCCACCTTTTCCACTGTGCCCTCTGGAATGCTTGCTCCATAGGCAACAAACTTGTTTTCATCTTAAATCTTCTTCTACTTCTTCCATTTTCTGGTAATCACTAACATCTGGCTGCCCCATGAACACACAGCTTCCCTGGCTACCCTTTCTAGTACTGGCTGCACTTTCCTTCCCTTATTCTTAGCTCACTGGCCAAGGCAGGGTTATAGGACATTCTTTACTCCCTATTACCACTTCCAGGTTCTCCCTCTACCACCATTACTGACTTTCTCCTCCTTTGAGGTCTATATAATCCATATGTTCCATCCAATCAAAATCCCAATAGCTATTACCTACAGAGTTCCAGGGTACCATCTTTTCTTCCTCAATGAGTTCCGTACATGGCTCACAGTCTATCTCCTCCCCAATTCCTGCCCTCATACTTGAACATACATACTGACACTCACTTAAACACCCTAAATGCCCAGATTCTCAACTTTCTTGCTTCCCATTCTTCACTCTACCTTAGCCATACAGAAAGGTGGTCACACTCTTGGATTTTGCCATCACCCACAAATGTTCCACCTTTATGTTCAAGAACTCTGAAATCCCCTTATCTGACCATAATCTATTGGCTTTTCACCTCTCCCTCTGCTTTCCCTTACAAAACCCTATTCTTCACCCACACTATGACCTTCAATCCCTTGACCCCCCTCAGTTCTCTCCCAGGCCATCACCTCTGTACTGGCCACCCTCTCCTTTTTTCCCCCTCTTGACTCCTTGGTGAAACAATTCAATCTATATTGTACTCTTCTCCTGAGTCTCTTGCCCCCTTCTTGTATTGCTGATTGTGCCCTGCGAAGTTCAGCTTTGATCTCTGCCTTTGCTCCTAAACACATCTTGCTGAATGAAGGTGGAAAAAAATCACACAACCATTCTGATTGGGTCTACTACAAATTTATATTACACAGCACCCCTACTGGTCCTTCTTTCACTGCTGCTAGGCAATCAGTCCTTCTACATCTCCCTTATCAACTCACTATCCTACTCTCCACAGTGTTCTTCCAAACCTTTTCACCATTCCTCAAATCTCCCTTGGTTTTCCCCTTCTTCCACTCTCTTAGCTGAAAACATCATATTTCACAGAAAAAAACTGAGGCCATTAACTGGGAGCTCCCTCTCCTTCCCTCCTTCTCATCTCACATTACACAGCTACCTTCTGCCACTATCTCCTGCTTTATTCGTCCCTGACTCACATGAAGAGGTAGCCCTACTCCTTGCCAAGGCACCCCTCTACCTTCACAAGGAATCCCATTCCTTGTTTCCTCCTGTTTCCTCCAACAGATTGCTCGCCTCTCCCTGGCTCTCCCCTTTTCTCTCCCAGCCCCTCTCCCATCATTCCCACTTATTTTCAGTATTTTCCTGTCTACTGACTCTTATACTGCCTACAAATATGTCTATGTCTCTGTCATCCTGAAAAAACCCACACTTGAGCCTAAATTTCCACACTATCATCCTATAATTTTTTTCTGCCCTTTGTGGTTAAACTCCTTGAAAAAAGGCTATCTGCAATACAAGTGCCTCTACTTCCTCCCCTTTTCCTCTCTTAACTCCTTACAATTGGGTTTCTGACTTCATCTTAGTCAACAGAAACTGCTCTCTCCAAAGTTACCAATGATCTCAATGGCCTTTTCTTAATCCTCATTCTTCTTGACCTTTCTGAAGACTTTGACATTGTCAATCTCCTTCTCCCCTTTGATAGCTTCTTCTCTCTGGGTTTCTGGGACACCACTCTTCCCTGGTTCTTGTCCTACCTATTTAACCACTCTTTTGTGGTCTCCTTTGCTGTATCTTCATCCAGATCATATCTGCTAACCGTGAATGTCACACTAAACTCTATCCTGGATCAAATTTGCTTTTTCCTCTATGCTACTTCACTTGAAGATCTCATCAGCTCCCATGGATTTAATAATTATTTCTATGCTGATGATTCTCAGATCTGCTTATCTAGCCCTAACCTCTTTGTTGACTTCCAGTCACACATCTGCAACTTCCTTTCAGACATCTTAAACTAGATTGTCTAATACACATCCCAAATTCAACATGTTTATGAACTCATTATATTTTCCTATCTACTTCCTATCTACTTCCAAACCTCTCTATTATTGTCAAGGGCACCACCACCTTTCCAGTCTCCTGGACTCATAACCAACTTGTCATCCTCTATTCCTCACCATCTTTCACCCTCCAAATCTAAACTGTTGATTTCACCTTTGCAACATCCCTCAAGTACACCCCCGTATCTTTCTGTGATAACTGCTACCACCCTGGTACAACATTCATCACCTCACGCCTGGACTACTGAAATAGTCTACTGGTTGGTCTGCTTGCTGTAAAGTCTCTTTCTACTGCAGTACATCCTCCATTTGGCCACCAAAGTGGTTTTCTCATAGCACAGGACCAATCATATCATCCCTATACTTTAAAAACTCCAATGGTTCCATATCACCTCCAGGATCAGAAGCAAAATCTTCTGTTTGGCATTCAAACTCCTTTATACCCTAGCCCCCTCCTACCTTTCCAGTCTTCTTGCACCTTATTCCCTGCCATGTATCCTCTGATCCAGTCACACCGACCTCCTTGATTTTTTGTGAACAAGCCATTCCATCTTTTGGCTCCAGACATTTTCCCTGGTTGTCCCTCACGCTTAGAACACTGTCCCTCTTCATGGCTTTCCTGGATTCCATCAAGTCCCAGCTAAAATTGACCCTTACGCAGGAAGCTTTTCCCAACCCTCTCAGTTCTAGTGTCTTTCCTTTGTTAATTATTTCCTACTCATCCTGTATATAGCTTGTTTGTACATATTTGTCTGTTTGTTGTCTCTTCTATTAGATTATGACCTCCTCAAGGGCAAAGACCATCTTTTGCCTTTCTTTGTATCCCCAGTGGTTAGGAGAAACAGTAGGTGCTTAATAAATTACTTACGAACCTTCAATCCCATTATTATAAGTCCAATGTCATATAGTTTGTTGAGGGAGGTAGGAGGAAATGGGAATACATCTCAAAGGGGACCTTGACATGTTCCCTTGAGTATTCCCTGTAGCCTGGGAAAAATCAGTGAAAGGAGGATCCAGCTGGAAGCCAAGGAAAAAATATTCAGAGACAAACACTAAGACATTTTAAGCTTCCACAGAAAAGTCATGGGAAAGAGTTGTAAGGTTCTCTTCCCTCATCCTTGGGGGGCTGGGAGGGGGGGGAGGGGGAGGGGGAGAGGGACAGGGACAGGGAGAGACAAGTGAGAAAGAGAGGGATCTCTACAAATACCTGGCTCTAGCCTAAGGGAAACCATGTAACAGACATAAATTATATCATGGGTCCTCCAGGTGGCCAAATTGGTGGTCTTCTGTAGTACTGACGGTTACAATATGACAGACAATATTTATACCATGATTTCAAAAACGGATTAATAATTGCCTTGATAAAGTAGACTTTGTTTTACTTCCTCAAAAATAGCACCAGTGATCCCACCTCTTTTAGGGGAGTAAGAAGAGTGATGAAGAAAAAGAAAGTGGTATTTGGAGTCTATTTCTTGTTAAAGGAACCCACTACTAAATCATGAGCCAGTGAGCTAGGACAAGATCGACGGGGTAGTGACAAGCAGGGAAAGGGAGTGGCTACTGAACAGAGGGGTCCAAGGACAAGAGCTGAAGGGCTGTGTTGGTGGGGTGGAAGAGGTGGGGGGTTGTTGGGTGCTGGCCTAGCCAGAGGAGATAAAGGTAAATAAACTGTATAGATCACTAGATGTTGATGTATCGTATACGGTGCTAAACGTATATAGATGTAGCCTAAAGAGTACTAAACGTCGTCTCAGGAAGACCTGGTTTCTCTGGCCTCAGACATTTACTTAAAGCTGTGTGACCTAGGCAAGCCATTTAAAGTCTTCAGGTTTAGGTTCCACCTCTGTAAAATTAAGAGATTGTAACTGATTATCTAGTGTGGCGATTTTTAATCTTTTTTTGTGTCATAAACACCCTCTAAATGCAAAAAAAGAAAAAAAAAGTACAAGATTATAGCGGAAACCAAAGGTTGGTGAAAACAGATACCACTTTTTCCCCATCCGAGTACACGTATCCCTATTACACTGAGGGCAGGGAATATCTTTTTGCCTTTCTTAGGATCCATCCCCAATTCTTAGCACAGTGCCTGGCTTAATCAAATAGGTGCTTAATCAATGCTCACTGGCTGACTGAAATTTATCTACTGGACTCCAAGTTAAGAAACTCCTTGATCTAAGGTCCCTTCCAGTTCCAAAATTATGATCCATGAGAGAGCTGAGTCAATGGGAGGGTGGTTTGAGGGATGGTGACAGACACTAGGGGTCAGGGGCTGAGAAGAAGGGGTCTCAGGTAAAGAGGGCAGAACTTGGGGCTGAAAAGAGAGTAAGGCAAGGACGGCGATTAGGGGCAATCAGCCTGGTTGCTTCATCTGGGCTGAGGCTCGACATGAGGGCTGAAGCATGAACATTCCGAAACAGGAATAAGAAAGTTCAGACAAGAGCAGCAACCTCCGGGTAATAAGGGGGCTGGGGGCGGGGGAGCGCTTTGTGGGGAGAGAAGGGTGCGTCTATACAGAAGGGGTGGGGTTGGGCGAGGTCAGTGTCTACCACGTCCATCTCTGGAGAAGGATGGAGGAAGGTCCCCCCTCCTGGGTGGAAGGTAGAAGCATACAATCTGTCACACCGATGATTGCAAGCATGGGTTAGGCAACAGGCACTTATTAAGCTCCCACCGTATGCCTGGTAGAGCATGGAGATACAAAGGGCTCAGAGCTGGAGATACAAAGAAAGATTAAAAGACAGCGAGGGAAAGCCACGTAGGGGAGGGGGAGGCGCTGGGAGGACCTCTTCCTCCCTCAATTTAAGGGGGCTCTCAGCTTTCTGGGGTACATACCTGCGACGGGGGCCGGACAGTCCCCGGCTCCGGCTCCAGCCTCTACGCCGTCACCGGCAGGGTTCAAGAACCCAGAACCCGAGGTGAGCAGTGAGTCCGACATCTGCAGCCCAGCCCAGCCACTCCGCAGCTCGGCGGCGGCAGCTACGAGCTAGCGAGCCAGCGAGAGAACGAACTTGCTCCGGAAGCAGCCGAAGCCCGAAGAGGGCGACGAGGCGGAAAGAGCCGAAAGCCTAGTGCGCTGGGCCGGAAGGAGCCTCCGCAGGAGCTGCCGTCCCCCAAAAAGGTTCCGCCTCCTTCAGGGCCCGTCCACCCTGGTTCTGGCTTGTAGGAGGCGTGGGGCAAAGGCCGGTAAAGGAGGAGACTGAACAGGGACATTAACCAGTGCCCCTTTTGGAGACACTAGTTTTAGGCCATGGTCAGAAAGAGCGAAGGGGGGGTGGGGAAGCGTTGGGACGGGGCACTTCCGGAAGTCGCGGTCTCCATAGAGACGCTCCTGGAAGTGCGGGTTGCCCGGGAAGCCAGGAGCGTCGTCCTCGAGGCGCGACAATGGAGGGTTTGCCCGGGGATGATGCCTCCACGCCTGGGGATGATGGCAACCCGGAGACCCCCGGCTTTGAGGGAAAAGCAGGCCCGGAGTCGCCTCAGAAGGGGCCTAGGTCTGAGGCAGAGACTTCTCTGGACAATGAAGTTGAGCTTCAGAAGAAATTAGAGCCAGAGGTCCCCCGGGAAGCTCAGCCTGGGGGAGGAGTGAAACCTGAATTTCCCAAGGAAGGCAGAGCAGAGTGGAGCAAACACGAAGATCCCATTGAAAGCGCTGAGGCTGGGATAGAAGCCAGGGTTTGGGATTCAGCCACAGATGAGGAACCACAGATGTCCTCAGAAAGTACGATCTACTCCTCTCAAGAACTCGTCAGATTTCCGAAGGCTCCTGAGATCGCCAGAACCAAGTCCTTAAAAAGTCAGATGTCCTCGCCTGAGCTTAAGAAAGAAGCTCCCGATGGAAAGAAATCTAAAAAAGCCACTGAGGAAGTCAAGAAAGAAGTAGTTGTGCCTGAAGCCAGTCCAGAACCTGAGATCCAAGAACCAAAAGAACCTGAAAATATTGAGACACAACCTTTTTATCTCACATGGAGCCCAGAAGATGTGGCACAGTGGATTAGCCAACTGGGGTTTCCCCAATATAAGGTAATAATAGTTAGCTCAAACTTACATATAGCTTTGTGGTTTACAAAACACTTTTCCTCTCCCAACCCTATTAATTTCGATTTTATAAATGAAAGAGTGCCGAAGTTAAGTGATTTATTTATTGGCAATGTAGGACTCAACTCAGGTCTTCTGACTGGAAGTCATATACTCTCTTCCACAGCATTCATTTCATCCCACTCATCCCCCTGCCTTTGACTCATTTCTTCAGTAGAAATGAATAAAGATTTCTCGAATTGAATAGAAAGAGCACAAATCTGTGATTAAGAAATTTGGTTTCTAGTTCTGGTCCTGTCACTGACTTGGATGTGTGAGGTTGTAAAAATCATTTAATCATTTCTTAACTTGGGAATAAATTGAAAATAAATACTACTTGTACACCTCATTAGGGATGTAACAGTATCTAAGAAATACATGTATGAAGAACTTTCAACTCCATAAATGCAAAGCATATTTTAGTTATTTAAGAACTAAATGCATCGTTCAACAAAGTTATCCTCTAGCACCTCATCACTGTAGCATGGAAGTGACACCCTAGATTTTTGAAGACTTTGTCAGGAGGGGCAGCTTGGTGTGGTAGATAGAAGGGCTGGCCTTAACTAGCTATATGTCCTGAGGCAAATCACTTAATTTTTTTTCCAGGTTCCAGGCAACTCTCTAAAACTCTTAAGTTGAATGAAAATTAAGTCCTCTCCATCTTGGAAGTTCACTGCAGTGATGAAATCACTGGTAGGAACAAAAAAAATATCAGCAGTCACAAATTTTGGCATGTCCTACTAAGCTAGAAGGACCGGAGGAACAGGCCTAAGAATGCACTGTCTGCTGTCCTAAGACCAATCTAACTAAATATGGAAGCTTATCATTAGGTGAAGAATTTTCTGGGCCACTGCAACACAAAGACCATCTACTAAACTGTAAAGGGGCTACTAAACCTTAAATATTTTGAAGTACTTAGTATGTACCCCAATTATAGCCCTTTTCTTCTTCATTCAGCAAGCATTCATTAAGCACATACTATATACTATATGCTGTGGATATACATCCAAAATGAAACAGCTTCTCTTTTTTTGGTCAAGTGTTTGTTCTAAGGCTGGATTTGAACTCAGGTCCTCCTGACTTCAGGGTTGGTGGTCTATCCACTGCGCCACCTAGCTGCCCCAACAGCTTTTCCTTTCAAGGACCTTATGTTCTATTGGAGGAAACAGCAGGTACTATACATAGAAATTAATACAAGACATAATGCAAAGTATGTAGAAAGTAATTAAGAGTTTGGGGATGAAACTAGCTAGCAGCTGTGGAGATCAAAATAGGCTTCATAAAGGTTAGCCAGATTGGTCAGAACTTGGACTATGCCTGCCATTCCCACCAGACTGGCCTATTTGCTGCACTCTTTATATAACATCCCATCTTCCCACTCGATGTCTTTGCACAAGTTTGGAATTCACTCCTTTCTCAGAATCTTTCAAGGTTCAGCTCAAGTTTCTGGAGTAAGAAGGTGAACAGGGACAGCTAGGTGGTACAGTGGATAGAGTACTGGCCCTGGAGTCCAGAGGACCTGAGTTCAAATGTGACCTTAGATACTTGATACTAGATGGGCCCTGGGCAAGTCACTTAACCCCATTGCCTAACCCCCCCCCAAAAAAAAAATATAAGAAGCTGAACAATTTACATAGACATCCCAGTTCTTGGGAACTCCTCTCTCCCTTACAGTTTATAGTGAGCCCAATTTAAGGATTCTGTCTCTAGTTGTACAGTAGTAATGTTTTTGACATGTGGTCTTCAAAATAGGTTCTTCAATGCTTTTTCATGTTATAATGGCCAAAGACTTAGAATACTCTGATTATAGTTTCCTTTAATGTATGTCAGCAACCAAATGTGTCATTATGTCATTCTAATTTAAGGAATCAGTAATTTAATTTAAGGAGTCAGAAAATAATTTTATTAGAAAAATGTCAGTCACTATGACTTTTTTCAGTGAAATGTTAATTGACAAACTATAAAGTGTGAAAAAGGGTGATGGAAAGAATCCTCTTATAAGAAAGTTTTTTTTTCCATAATAAGGCACCACCGGGTCAACTTACTCTATTTCCTTCCTAATTCCCAATATCTATAACACCTTGTACCATCAACCTGCAGTTCCAGACACTGTCACAATTTGTAATTCATATTTTGGGCCCATTATAACTATAGTCAAATTTCTAAAAGTTTTTAAATGATAGTGACCTTACAGTCAATTGTCACTGAAACATGAATCAGTTTTGTTTATGCTTTCCATAGAGATATTAATTTAAGATTTTTAAAAAGTTTCAATGTATATTCTAATATTTGATACAAAATTCTTAAGTTTATGTGTGAAAAAGTTTTCTTGACACGTGCCTTGCCATGTATGTATGACACATGTACATGTCATACATGTCAAATGGCAACATATAATAAATTAAATAGGGCTTGACCTTGATTTTATGGCAATTGGGAATTAACAAGTGAAGAATGTCTCAGGGCTCAGAATGCTCTTTAAATTAAAATAAAAATGATGATTTTGCCAAATATATTAGATTTCCTTATGGGCAGCACTTATCCTTAGGGCAATTCTTATTTTGCCGTACAAAGTAACATAGATTCTTTTTTAGAAGAGTGAGAGATCAGTAAAAATTATGACAACAGAAAGAAGTAAACATCAAACCATGTTGCTCTAAGATTAAAAAAGAGATAGAAATGGGTACTGACCAAATGAGCTCTGTGTTGTAATATCAAGGAAATGGGCCTCAGTGGGGTTGCTACAAGTTCTTCTCCATAAAATGAGGTGGGGAGGCAAGGAAAAAGTTTAAGTGTCTACGATAGTAAATGAATGAATTGAGGCAATTTTTAAGGTCTTAACTCTGTATGAAGGGCAGTACAAAGGGTAGCTAGATGGTACAGGGTAGAGAGCACTGGGCTTGCAACCAGAAAGACTCAGCTTCCTGAGTTCAAATCTGGGCTCAGACACTTACTAGCTAAGTGACCCCTGGGCAAGTCACTCAGTTCTTCTGCAAAATGAACTGGAGAAGGAAATGGCAAACCACCCCAGTGTTTCTGCCAAGAAAACCCTAAATGGGGTTGTGGAGAGTCGAACACAACTGAAAAACGGTGTAACGATAAATGTACAAAGCACTCTGCTGAGCACTGGGGACACAAATTGAAAAGTAAACCCAGTAGAGTAGTATTTGTCATTGTGCAGTTCTTAACACAATAATTGCACCAGATTGTTTGGAAACATTAGACTTAAATAAGAGTCTACCACAGAGTAGGGAGAATATCAGAATTGGGGACTGGGGTATTGGAAGGCAGGCAGGGTTATTCAAGGGAGAAGGAAGTAGTAATTATATTGGGAAGGATGAGGAAAAAGAGGTCTCAAGAGATATAGACATATTATTTTGATATATACATTGTTTATAGGAAATCATATATACCTTGGAACAGCAGCTGACTATTTAGCCTTAAGGTTAAAAAATAATCCTCAATTCCTTTTTCTCATTGTTACTCAAACTAACTAAGAGTTCATTTCCTTCTCCTTCAGTTTATCAAAACTAATGTTAATTTGAGATCATATATTTCTCCTTCAGTTTAAACACTAATTGTGGAATAACGAAGTACTGGTTGTAGCATGAGAGGAGAATGAACCTGCATGTTTTTTAAAGGGAAATTTGACCTTTCGTCAGGAGGCTATAATTAAGGTGGTGAACCTGGATGGAAAAAAAAAAGTAAACAGTTATAGTAAAAAATAAAGCTTACTTTTCTAAGCATAGGACTACAAACAATCTTGATTTCTATTTTTTTTCTTTTGCTGCCTGCAGTACCTCTTTCAAGTGACATTCTTGTTGTACTGACAGGAATGCTTTACAGCAAATTTCATCAGTGGCCGGAAACTCATCCATGTTAACTGTTCAAACCTTCCTCAGATGGGCATAACAGATTTTGAGGACATGAAGGTGAGCAATGTTTATCAA